TTAAAGATACCCTTTTTGTGGCCTTGTGTGATGAAAGTTCAGGATATGTTATTATTATTTGGAAACATTGGCTTCTGAAGTGGACAGACCATGCGCTTTAACTTCGACTAGTATTTCAATATTGAAAGAGTTCAGAAGGAAAGTACATTTTTCGTTTCATTTTAGATTGAGTCTGTGATTGGAATTGGTTGTCTGGAAATGTGTTTATTTGAATTTAAATGTGGTTTTCAAAAAAAAAACCAAAAAGACTCGAGGTAAATAGTTCAGTGCTTTGGAAGACAAGTGTTTGGGTTTATAGAAAAACTTTGGAATGTTGCACATGGAGACAGAGATAGAAAAAATGTCTTTTAGAAAGACAGAACCATCCAGAAGACAAGAGAATAGTTTGATCATTCAGAGAGAGAAAAGCCTGAAACTGGAGCAGTATAGTATAGCAACCTTCTAAATGATTAAAGATTTAACAGCATCTTAGGTTTGTTTAATACATCCTTCATCAGTTGTGTGACCCTTTGATCTTTTTCTTGTAAATTGTGCGTTCTGTGTGCTTCTTTCTCACTTCACCTGATGAAGGGGCTATACTCTGAAAGCTTGTGTTTTCAAATAAACCTGTTGGACTATAACCTGGTGTTGTGTGATTTCTGACTGTGTCCATCCCAGTCCAACACCAACACCTCCACATCATAACCTCCAAATCAGTCAGGGCACAAGAGAAGAAGTCCTGAGTGGCTTAGTTCATAAGACAAAAGTTGCAGAAACAGAAGGCTTTAAGAGTCTGAGAGGAAAACATCCTACATGGTTTTTGAATGTATGAGTTTGAAGAATATATTTTAGGAGTAAGTAAGCTGTGTTAGCAGTTTTTTTTTTAAGGGCATTATGAAGAAACATTAAACAAAGACAGCATTGAGTGAATGCAGACATTGCAAAAAGACACCAAATCAAGCCATATCAACTAAACAAGTAACTTTAAAGTAGAAACAAGGTGTCTCTTTATTGAGGTTTCAGTATCTGTAAGGTTGTTAGATCATAAAATAAAGGGGCAGAATTAGGTCATTCAGCCCATTGAGTCTGCTTTGCTGTCTGATTATGGCTGATATATTTCTCAACCTCATTCTTCTGCCTTCTGCCCATAATCCTTGATCCCCTTACTGATCAAGAACCTATCTCTATATTAAATACACTCAATGATTTGGCCTCCAAAGCCTTCTGCAGCAATGAGTTCCACAGATTAATCACCCTCTAACCAAAGAAATTTCTCCTCATTTCAGTTCTAAAGGACCATCCCTTCACCCTAAGTCTGTGCCCCTGGGAACTTTGGCATATAAACTGATGTTTTCCCAGCCACCATCAGTTCTGAGGAATGGTCACCGGACCCGAAACATTAACTCTGTTTTCTCCTTCACAGATGCTGCCATACCTGCTGAGCTTTTCCAGCAACTTTGTTTTTGCCCCTGGGAACTCATCTTCTACTGGTGGAAACATCTTCTCTATGTCTATTCTATCCGGTATGCTGTTAGTTTCAATCAGACCCCCATCATCCTTCTGAGCTCTATCAAGTACAGACCCAGAATCCTCAAATGCTCCTCAGTAATGAGCCCTTCATCCCCAGGATTATTCTTGTTAATCTCCTCTGGGCCTCATCCAATGCCTGCACATATTTCTTTTGATACAGATCCCAAAACTGCTCACTATATTCCAAGTGCGGTCTGACCAGAGCCTTGTGCAGCCTCAGCAGTACATCTCTACTCTTATATTCTTTCTCTCTTGAAATGAATGCCAACATTACATTTGCCTTCCTAACTGCCAACTGAACCTGTATGCTAACCTTATGAGAATCCTGAACTAGGGACTCAAGTCTCTTTGTGCTTCAGATTTCTGAAGCTTTTCCCCATTTAGAAAATAGTCTATACCTATATTCTTCCTACAAAATGTACAACCTCACACCTTGCCATATGAATCCATCTCACTTCTTAGCCCACTCGTCTAGCATGGACAAGTCCTTCTGCAGCCTACTCATTCCTTTAAACTTAGTAGCAATGCCCTTGGTTCCTTCATCCAGATTGTTAATGTATAACATGAATTTTTGTGGTTCCAATACTGACCCCTGTGGAACTCCACTAGTCACCAGCTGCTGTCCTGAAAAAGACCCCTTTATCTACATTCTGCCTTCTGCCAGTCAGCCAATCCTCTATCCATGCCAGTACCTTGCCTTTAATGCCATGGGCTGTTATCTTATTTAGCAGCCTCCTATGTGTCACCTTGCCAAAGGTCTTCTGGAAATCCAAATAACTCACACTACTGGCTACCCTTTGTCTAACCTGCTCATTATCTCCTCAAAGAATTCTAAAAGATTTGTCAGGCATGACCTCCCCTTGCTGAAGAAGTGCTAACTCAGCCCTACTTTACCGTGCACTTCCAAGTACTTCACAATAACTTCCTAAATAATGGACTTTAAAATGTTACCAACAACCAAGGTCAGGCTAACTGGCCTTTTGTTTCTTATCTTCTGCCTTCCTCCCTTCTTAAACAGGGGTGTTACATTAACCATTTTCCAGTCCTCTGGGATCCTCCCTGACTCCAGTGATTCCTGAAAGATTACTGCCAATGCCTCTACAATCTCCTCAGCTGTTTCCTACATAACTCTGGGGTGTAGTCCATCTGGTCTGGGTGATTCATCTGCCTTCAGACTTTTCAGATTCCCCAGCACCTTCTCCTTAGTGATGGCCACCGCAGACACCTCTGTCCCCTGATGTTGTTGAAGTTTTGGTACGTATCTGGTGTCTGACAAGCTCAAGGACTGAGGCTCCTTCAGCATTACCTCCTGGATCCCTCTATGTGCCACGACACTGAATCTTCCCCTTCCGACTCCAAGTTTGTCTGCAGCCCAGATGAGATATCCTGAACCTGGGCACCAGGCAGGCAACATAGCCTTTGGGACTCTCCATTCTGGCCACAAGAACAATGTCTGTCTTCCTGACTATACCATCCCTGATTATAGCTACATTTCTCTTTTCTGTCCCCACCCCTCTTGAATAGCTCCCTGTACCACGGTGCTATGGTCAGTTTGCTCATCCTCCTGACAGCCTCCACTCTTATCCACGTAAGGAGCAAAAATCTTAAACCTGTTAGACAAGTTCAAGGGCTGAGGCTCCTTCAGTATTACCTCTTGGATCTCTCTATGTGCCTTGCTTGTAGCCATACCCTCCTGTCTCTGACCACTGACCAAATTGGAGGTTATTAATCTAAGAGGTGTTATAGTGCCCCGAATCACAGCATTCAGGTAACTCTCCCACTCCCTGATAAGTTGCAGTGTTTGAAGCTCAGACTCCAGCTCATCAATTCTATGCCAGAGTTTCTCAAGCTTGCTACAGATATGGTCACTATGAGCCACAAATGGGTCCACCAGCTCCCACATCATGCAGTTATAACACATTGCCAGGCCTGGCATCTCTATTTTAATTACTTAGTTCTTAGTTTGATTTTTTTTAAAAATTGTACTGGTCTTTTAATCTGTAGCCTGTAAATATTTCTCCTATTTACCTTCAATCTGAAAGTAACCTGGATTGATATTCAAACATGTAGCTATCACCAACCAATGAATCTATGATTTACTTGCAATGTCAGTCTAGTGCTCAGCCCCTGATCCTGGGCTTCAATTATCCTGTTAAAAGACCTTACAAACTACGAGCCAAAAAAAGCATGCAATGTTTAGTAGGCATCTTGACAGATACATGAATGGGCAGGGAATAGAGGGATACAGACTGCAAAGTGGCAAAAGGCTTTTAGTTTAGAAAGGTGTCATGTGTTGGCACAGGCATGGTGGGCCAAAAGGCCTGTTTCTGTGCTATACTATTCATTGTTCTAGGGCACAAGCAACAAAGTTTTAGATGCCCTGAATGTACGGAGAGTAGAATGTATCAGACCAGCTAGCAGTGCATGGATAACTGAAAGTAAGGGAAATAAAGGCATGGACGAAAGTTTTAGCAGTAAAGGAGGTGAGGCAAGGGAAGAGATGCGTGGTGCCATGTAGGTGGAAATAAGCAGTCTTAGTGACAAAAGCTCATTTCAGAGTCAAATGTAGTACTGAGTTTATGAATAGCTTATCAGCTTCAGACTGTTGCCAGAGAGAGGGTTAAATCATGACAGGGAGAGAAGAATGTCCTCAGTATTCTCAATGTTCAATTGAAAGAAATTTATGCTTGCCTGGTAATGGATAACCAATCTGATAATTTAGAGATAGTTAAGATTATGATGAAGTGGAATTTGGTGTCATAAGTGTACATGTAAAAACTGATTCAGTCAGTAAGGATGATGTTGAGGAGCAGCAAAGAGATTAGAACGAGGGGGCATTCAAGCAGAGGTAACTAAGCAGGAATGGGAAGAGACATCATTGATGATGACTCTGTGGCTACAATTAGATAGTTAAGAGTGGAACCAGGTAAACACAGTGTTACCCTGCTGAATGACAATGGAAAGACATTGGAGGAGAATGAATTGATCAATTGTGTCAAACAGTAGAGGCAGATTAAGAAGGCTCAGCAGGAATTGTTTATTTTTGTCATAGTCACATAGAATGCCATTTGTGACTTTGATAAGAACCATTCAAGCACAGTGGTGGAGACAGAGTCCTGATTGGAGGGATTCAGGAATTGTGTTCTGGGAATGCTGTGATGAAGGCACTGTTTTTTGCTTAATGTGCCAAATCGCCATTCTCAACAAATATCACTCTACAAAGTTCATTGTTTTCCAATGATTCCTACCGGAAAGTAGATGTCAGTTGAGCACAAAGTTAGGCTCAGTTATGATCTCTCCATAGTTGACTGATGTGCTGTATTCCTGGATTCACACATCTGGGCATGATACTAGGCAGCATGCAAAACTCACAAATCTGTCATTCAGCACATTTGGTGGTGAGGAGGAAATTATAAAAATACCCTTGTATTTGAAAGTAATTTGTATACAATTATCTATAATCATTTGAAGGCACACTTAGAATGCATTTCTTACGTGCGAGTAAGTCCAAAGGCTAAATCCAACATATCCATTTCTTCATCTGCAATCTCATCCAAATTCTCAAAAACCTCCTTGTCAAAGATTACATGGCATGTTGAACAAGCCAGGGTTCCTTCACAGGCACCTGCAGTAATAACACAAGTTAGGCTGCTTTTGCTTTTTTCCAAATTTCTTACCTGAATGCTCCGGTCTTGTTAGGTCTGATTCCACACAGGCGTTGGAAGCCCTCCTGTGTCTCATAAAGGTGGCCTTTATTCCTCTGTAAGTCTGAACAACATTGAATCAAGGAGAACAATACGGTCATGCCTGATCCTGCCTCACCTGACATCCACACAAGTTGACTTTGTGACACTGAATAGTGATCAGATGGTGGACCCTGGTTAATGCCTTGCTGGCAACTGTTTAACTGTTGCAATTTAGTCATTTTCATTTCTTTACATCTGCTTCCATGTTTGGAGCTGTTTCTTTGCTTGCATTGCGGCTTATCCTGTGACGAGCTATCCCAGACACAAGGAAGGAGATTTTCAGATCATTAAACTTGGGACACAGGACGGAGAGGGAAGATGTACACAGAAGGATTAGAACTGAAATGATATTCCAGGTAGAATGATAAGGTTCATGGGGCTGTTATAGAAGGTAAAATGGATGGTCAGAAATATCTGCCTAATTTGAACTTTATTTTGTGATGTGCACCATGGCAGGTGACATCCCCTACTGCAGTTCA